TAGTTGGACAGAGTCATCTGGTTACATTAGGGTTACTTGAGAAAGGAATTTTAGGAAGAAAGCATGATTGATATTTTTAAAGGAAAATGGTACATATATAATATAAAGTTATACACTATATTACACATTAATGATTTTTGTTATTTGTGTCGTTAGAATGAACGATTTTTATTATTTATACCGTTAAAACTGACAATTTTCATTACATATTAACAGAAACCACTAATGTATAATGAAATGTATAACTTTGTAGAATATATATATTATTAAATCAAAATTTAATATTTATTTAACAGTATATATATTTTTTAAAGGCGAAACATATTTTTATTAAATTTAAAGTAGGAACAGTACTCTAATCCATATATATAACAATTGGAATAAATACATTAATTAATACCTTCTAGTTATCTTACAGCAATATTTATTTAGGAGCATAAACAGTGCGTAAAACAAATAACACTTGGATAATATGGTGGATCTTAATATATTCGTTTAATCAATTTGCAAAGCGGCATTGCTTCCTTATTTCTCCAGTGTTTCCGGTGAGAACTTCTATGGATCCCATCTTCTCCATGGAGTTGGCAAACTTCGCTATAAATGAAGTGGAGATCTGCAAATGTCTTACTATCTTAGCTGATTGTCTGTTGGTGAGAAGTGCAGCATCCGATTGGAACAGACCCTTGTTCTCCAACACAGTTTGGTAGTAATTTTTGTCAAATGAGAGTGCGCTTTGCGGATCCATTTCCACGGTGGTTGCAGGGTTCGCCGGATTAGAGCACTTCTTCTTTAGGAATTCGGCATAGGTTGGGTCCAAGGAAGGATCTTGATCACCTTTCCCGGTGAAGTTGTAAAGCCTTCTCGAGAAAGTGCCACAGTGACTAAGTCCAATTGTATGTGCACCTGTTCAATTGTAATTTTAGGGTTCAAAATTACATCTTCCTTGATAATTAACAATTAACGTGTGAACTAAATTTTATTAAATAAATGAATAAGAAAAAGTTTATTAAGCTCAAATGAATAAATGTACACTAATTGATTTAAAGATGGAAAAAAAAAAAAAAAACTTATACGGTACATACCTGATAGAAGTACTAAGTCATTAAGATTAAGATCCTTTTTATTGAATAATTCTAAAAGAGTTGTAAAATTTGAGAATGGAGAGGGAAGATTTTTGGTGACTTCTGACGCAAGGGAGATCCTACCATCTCTTCTTCCAGTGGGCACCTTCCACAGTCGTCTATTAAACTACGATTGAGAAAAAGAAAGTGAGTGATAATTAAAATGAGTTTTTTAATAAATCTCAACTATTTATAGTAAGGAGATTATTAGTCAAAATTTTATGTAAACAATGTTTACAAAATTAGTTGTGTGTAAATCAGTAAATGGATCCTAACTTAATTACAATTATTATTTTATGCTGAATATTTATTAGATAAATCCATTCTACCGAAACTAAGGTATAAATAGACACAATAATGTACGTGATGATTCATATTAAAATGCCTAGGTTACCGGAAAAGAAACAGCATCACGAGCAGCTAGTGCAAGAATATCAGCACAGGAAACAGTGTTAGGACAAACTTGCTCAATCTGAGTCTTGATATCATCAATCACATCGAAACCAGATAAGCTTAGATTTGGTAACGCATCCTTCTCTGCCTGTGTATTGTTAACTGCATCTAACAATATAGATGCATCGCAACCCTTAACAAAACCAAGTTAGTCAAAATTATTATAGATATATGGAACGGATGCATGATGCATAAAGTATATGTATCTGTAAAAACGGTTACCATAACAAAACAATCATGATAATTCATCCTAAGCAATTTTGCTGGCAAAGCAGGATTTGATGGAACTCTGCTCCCTATAATCTCCTTGACAATTTTCTCAGCTTGTGGGCAACTCTCTTTGTAGAATTTCATCTTCAACCCTTCTGCATTACACGCCCCTGCTGCAGCTATCCAAAATGCTAGAAGAGAGGCAAAGATAACAAAAATGCTACAATCTTTTTTAGCCATCATAATATTATTCCTACAAAGAGTAGCAGAATCAAAAGGAGGAAGAACAAGAGCAGAACGCTTATAGTAGTGGAAAGAGGACCAGATAGGGTTCCCCTTTTATAGAGAAAGGAAAGTCAAAATCTTTAAAAAGCCCGAAGCAAGCTTTATTAGGAATCTTGATATATATTATACAACTCCCAATGTCACTTTCATTAAATGCAGAGCATTTTCAGGATCGATCCTCACTTGAATTAGTTGATAAGACTGAAACGTGGGGGTGTGGTAAATGCAGCCATTTGACCCGATCTCTTTTAATGAGATAATTTGTTCAAATTATTATAACATGACTAATACACTACTGGAAGTAATCATATTGGTAAATGTGATGCATCAATCTCACTTGATTAATAAGGAAGCAACAAAGTTTATTTATTTTTGGAAATGAAGTTCATTAAGACTTAATTAACCTTCGTTCGCCTGCCGGGCTGTCAACCCATTTAGTTGTGAAGGTGCATCACCACAGCCTTGACGTTGGTTCAAATCTCTCTTTCCCCACAATTGTAAATGTTCCCAAAAAAAAAGAAGAGAAAGAACATTGATCATCACTTCTGGAATGCTCAATCCTTAATTAATTGGATGATTTCTTTAACTTGTTAGTTGTTACTGCGGATATAATGAAGAGCATGTTAACGATTCTTATATACATGAATTGCCAACAACACAATCTTATATTTACAATGAAGTTTTGCAATATGTGTTAAGGAGTGGATGCATATATGTAAGGAAAATGATTGGTATATACTTGGTATATATACTTTCTGTTTACACCCATTTTTGCAAAAAATA